TATGACATAAAATAATATTGTAATTTCTTTTTGTTGTAGCAGATTGTATGTACGTATTATTTAGATCTATTTTTTTGTATCTATCTCTATATTTCTCTCTCTTTCCTGCTCTCCATGATAGCATGTAGTAATAATTGTATATGTTTGTCTATATTTCATTAGATTTACCAGAGGGAGACTTTGTACAAAAGGCGATTGCTTGGGTACCTCTTTCCCATTCGTGTTTCTACCGTGAAGCAGTTGTGTTTGCATGGCTGTATTTCGGTTTGAAGGGTGGGATATGGCGTGAATTTACAGGGTACAGAGGAATAACACCTGAGTCCTCAGGAATGGCAACGCATGGGCAATATCATGGGCGAAACAGTATACTCTGTTATGTCCATGGTACTGCTCGTGTCTATAGGCGACGGTTACCATTTTACATCAGGTGGGCCGTCAGCTTATTTGCCATTCTAAGTTGTATAAAAAAAAATATTTTAATTAAATAATAATTTAAAATTGTGTTTACAAAAAAATGACTTCAACTGTGGCAAGACCAGTTATTTTGATTTAATATCGAAACTAATGAACCGATTATGATGTAACTTCTATGAAACCAATCTGTAAGTATATCCTTACAGATAAGAAATATAATTTTTGAAATCGGTTTATAACTGACAGAGATATAAGGTAACAAACGTAAAAAAAAATACAACCGAATTGGGAACTTCCTTCTTTTCGAAGTCGGTTAAAAATACTTGTTACTGACTAATAATGTAGGTGATAGGTGAAATATTTTTTTATTTAAATCGATTAAGCATTTTTTTTTTTTTAGTTTATCCATTACAAAGAAAAAAAATCAAATCTTTCCTCTTTATAATATTAGATTCAATCATTTATGTTTTCATTTACTACCAAATAAGCGGTATTTATTACGTCTAGAAATAGTTACACGTCTATAAGTAGTAAAAATAACTTTACTATTTATTTATGAACATTCATTCGGATATCTCAAGGCCACAGGTCACCCCTTCTGTTCCCGTCGGTGTCGTAAGAGGCTACTGAGAGAGGGCGACGGATGGGCAGCAGCGTCCATCTTAAAACATCTCCAAAGCTTAATTGTAGTTGCTAATGTGCCTACCAATCGTGGTTACTGGCAGAACAGCAAAAAATAATGAAAAAAAAAAAGCATCCTCCTTGAATCCAATACTGGATCCAATACATCTCAACGTAATTAATAAAGCATTAGGGAGGCAAACAAATAATTAAACATCATTTGTCAACTCAATTCAGATGGTGCACATAAAACAACCAACTCCCTTTACCTTGACCCCATACAAAAATCCCAAAAAATACACGCACAGTGGGCGAAAGCACAGAAACGTTGGCCAAAACCCATTCAAAAGTAACATTCCGTCATAGCGCTTTTCTGTCCGCCGGTGAGTTTCAAAACTTTTTTTTTTTGTCCAACGATTATATCCAAGAGGCGGTCAATTAAAATGACTCTTAAACACCAGTAGCCCGGAATGCTGGCCCTAAACTGAATTTGTCCCTCCATCCATTGTATTCGCGGTGACAAAAAAGGCGCGCAGCACCCGACAAAGAAGCGGACTCTTTTTGTCTCTGGATATTCCATGAGTGTATTGTGATTAGAAATTTTTGAACTATCCAAAGTATAATGACTTAAGTTTTAGGCATGTTTTTAATTTGAAAGTTTTGAGGCGAGAGGAATTAGTTTTTTTCGACCACATTCTTCAGTGATTGAGAACACTGTTTGTGTTGAGGTTATTATTTGAAATGGCGCGGAAAATCATCTGTCGCATAAGAATTACAGCAATGCCTTTAAATGTTATGAAAAAAATTCATTCTCATCACTCAAAACATATTTTTCCATAAAATGATCAGAAATTTAATAATAATACGAATTATGATTAAATTTCTGACAAAAAAAATATTTAAATTCTAAATTTAAAACTGACAGTTCTTTTTTCAAACTAACAAACTCTTTTATCTTTTCTTATAAGTCATGAATTTTTCATTTCTCTTGTATATATAGAGAATCTAAAATCTAAATTTTGCTCTATAATTTCAGTAGTATTTGTAAAAGTAAAAATAAGGTTGCACTTACGGTTTCTGATCGATATAATGAGTCAGTCAATGAGAATATCTCACTTTATATCAAGACGTTAAAAATTTCACCACTTTTATAAATATATGAAGTACCTATACTTTTTCTCTATTCAGTATGGTAGTAGATAGTGGTAGACCGCCATCAATTAATACATTTTATGTAGTAATTTGGTGATAAAATAAAACGCTTTTTTGTCAGAACTTTACATAGATACTCCTGTAAAATTTTCTAGATTTAACATAAAAAAAGGTTTCTCTTCTCTAATTAATATTTTAGAAAATTTCAATATTTGTAAAGAGAGAAAATATGACGAGTTTTTAATTAATATCTATTGATTAGCTATTGATTAAATTTTTAAAGTAATCATTGCCAAAACTAAAACCAAAACTAAAATTTTGGACTTTTTCAAACAGCAATTTAGTTTAACTACTAAATATATGTATAGGTAAATATTTGGAATGAAAACTCTGTATTGTTTCCCCCAAAGAAAGAATTGCATAGAGACATAGTTTTTTATTATCAATATAATAGATAAAAAAAATCGTAAGTAAATATTTTTATAATTTTCATTATTTGCACAATGTAAAATAATTTTATTTTTTCTAATGAAATGAAAGAAAAAATTATATCAATGTTAATGATCGTTTTATTATTCAACATACAAACAAACGTTCCGTTTCACCCTTTTATTTTCGTCTCGACACAAGCAATGATAAAAAAATATGTTTAAAATTCGAACGCATCCAAACGCCGCCGACAAAGCGGCCGGCGTTGCTAACTTATCTATATTTATAAAGTATACAAAAGAAAACTTGACGAATTCCGCCATATGTCATATATATGTTGAATTGTGTATATTTCATTTTTGCTGTTCTATCAGAGGTCATTACTGTATTATAAAAATATAGAGTTGATTTAAATAAAAAGTAAATCAAATAAAAAAGTATACCAAATTGGCGTTACACTGAAAAAAAAAAAACATAAGTTTATTCTATTTGTAAAGATATATTTATATCTTTATTGATATATATTAATGGAAATTTGAAATAATTAATTAATGATTTCATTAATTTATTCATTCAAACTTCAGTTACTTTTTCTTCATTCAATTACTCCTAATAACCGAAAAAAGTAACCTAAATGCTCACTACGTTGATCATAAAAATGATAATGAAAAAATTTTATACTGTAAATAACTGTTTATATTTAATTTAAATATATAACAATAATTTGCCTTCAACATCACAATTCAATTATTAAAAAAAAAAAAATAAACAACCAGTAAATGTAAATTGGAATACTAAAAAAAAACCAATACTTACGAGATGACAGAAAGTTTTGACAACTTCAGAAGAAGAAAAAGATTTCGAGATATGTTATATTGATTACTTCCTGACTGGTACCTCGCCTGTATTATTGGTATCTTGTACCAAATTCATCATTAAAATAAAAAAACTGTCAGTTTCTACTGCTATGGTATTGGCTATAACGAATCAGTTCTAAGGGATGGCAAATATCCACTGTGTTTTCTATGTCTATAAACGACAGTTTCCACTATCAGGTACACTGTCAAATAGGTACTTTATATATATTATATTTAATAATAATTATATTATATCCGAAATTTAGCAGTATTAACGGATATAAGGAGTTTTATAGAAATATTTATGTAGTTACTACTAGCAATATACGGGAAGAGATCAATCTAGTCATAACAGTTCTGAATGATTGTCTGAAGATAGATCGATGTAATTATTTAATGATATAAATTAATGAGTTCCATTAACATTAATATTTATGGTTATTCTTCGCAATCACTGGCCGTTCAGAAACGAAACATCGTTTACTACTTTGGAAGAGGAATACATCACTCTATGGTCAGTGTAAAAAAAAAACAAAAACAAAACTTAAAAAAATGGAACTGTCAAAATGGTTCGCAGTAAATTTTGCCGCGCTCGCGGTCAGCGAGCCACCATTGGCTAGTGGTGGGGTAGGCGTGGTCAACATTCGAATAAGGAACACTCGATTTATTTATGAAGTGCATTTGAGTGTTTATGCCGTTTTTGCTGTGCTCTGTGGTATTGTAAGGTGGGGGACGTTTAGGGACATTTGAATTGTTGATTACGATGTGTTTCCACGATAAAAGCCTCGGCGTGAAATATTTCGTTTAGAATTTACAGTGAACGTGCGATAACCGGTGTAATTTAAATCTCCCAAATAGTTTTGTTTGGAAATAAAAATCGTTTAACAATTTTTCATCTGTGGAAACGAGTCTAATACTAAAGTAATAATTTAAAATTTTCCTCTACAAAATCAATCGTTACTAAATTGACATGAACCAATACGCAAGTAATATCAATCAATTAGGTAAATCAATTGAAAAGGAAATTAACGAAGATATAAACATAAAAAAAACCTGTAAGTTTAGATTCTAACCCCTTAATAAGCAGAATTGACTAAAAAAAAAAAACACTTTTAAAACATAAGTAGATACAGTATCAGCCCCGGGTTACTTCGAACAAAAATAATGTTTTGATATTTATGCAACCAGTTAATTTTACACTGCTCTTTTCACTATAAATTAGCTGAGTCTTTTATTACAACAATATATGTCGATGCTTTAGAAAGATGCATATTTTAAATACGTTGTTATAATATAAAAAAGAATACCCTTATTTATAAAAATGACAAAACATTGTAATGGTTAATATAGATTTGAAGGATGTTTTAATTATAATAAATAAGCGAATATAAATATTTGTTTATTTTATTGATTTAATGCTTCTAGATGGTTGCATAGATTCATTTTCTACTTTTGTCAATATAAAGACAATGCCAATTCTTAACGTAATGATAATTAAACGAGTACAATTTAAAAAAAAATACTCACCAGGTTCATCGACTTTGTAAGATACGTCGCAGGACCCATCCTTTCTATCCTTGAAATCGATCTCTGCTTTGCTGGGGCCTTCCAGAGATATCGCAAGTTGTCCCGCTCCCGCCTCACGAGTCCAAACATTGAACTCATTGAATCGTCCAGCCTCTCCTCGCTCCAAACCAGTACCACCAGCCTTCACCAAGTGAGCCCCAGAATCCCGGAGAGGACCCACCGTGAACTGGAAGGGTGAGCCTGGGAAGAAATTAAGGAATTTTCTTTACACATTTTGTAGTTCGTCTGGAAGAAAATGTTGCGATAGTACCGCCATTTATACCACTTTATCTTAATTAATTTACTGTATTCATTATTTCTGTACTGTTCTTGTCTATAAGCGACGGTTACCACTTTCCATCAGGTAGGCCGTATGCTTGTTTACCACTTCAGTGGTATAAAAAAAGCAGTTTTATTATTTATATTACTCAATTCATTTTCCGACATAACAATACCAGTGCTGATGACTTTTGTAGCACTTCTTAGTTACTCTCATTACAAGTGACGCCTCTGACCTTATGCCAAGCTATGATACCAGCTTAATAAACTCACCAGGAATATGAATCTCCCTGTACTTGACAGAGACCGTGTGTACACCCAACTCCTTGGGCACAAAGTGTACCGAGTACAGGCCATCTTCGACCTCCTGAATTTCCGCATCTTCAGAGACACCCCCCGGACTGGTCACGGTGGCAGCCAGGTCGAATGAAGTGATACCTGATGAACATAAGGTAATGTCATAGTTATATACATATGTACATACCTACATAATAACTGATCACATCAAACGTTGTCTTGCCTCAAAAAAATATAGAGGGTCATTTATTGGCTTAAAAACTATTAAGTCTCAAGTTTGAATAAATAATAGACATAAAAAAAAACATCGAAATCGGTTGGGCAGTTTTGGAAATTAGGGTAATCAAACATCGTAACACAGACAACCTCAGATGCGTTCCTTATTTCTGTGGGAGATGCCTATTTATATATCATCATAGTCGTAGAATACTGACGGATCTATATATGTAATCTTTGTCAGATCCGTCAGTATTCTACGACTGTGACGATATGGCAGATTTAAAACCATTTTGAGGATGCAAGTCTTTTAAGTAAATAAAATTTAGTGGTCCAGACTGCCAGTATTTGAATCGTTGCAGAATGATTCACATGCTGGCCAACATACAAAAAAAAGTAGGTCAAGTTAATGTTATTTATTTAAAAGTGTAAAAATTAAATTTAATAATTTATATTTGGAACAAATTATTATTGTTAAAATTTTATGGGCCCTGGTTGCCTTGATTTATTAAGAATTTATTTATTTATTATTAATTCCAAACAAATTACCAGGCATTTTAAAGGTGAGTTTGCAATTTGTGCCGACTTCAGTTAGCGGAGCTGGATCGCGTTGCCTCTGAATCTTCTCTCTCTGTCGGTTGCTACCCTCGCCGGTCACCTGATTGAAACAATACCATAGATATTTTTTAAATATCCATTTCTCCTCTAATAAATTCTCAACCCATACGATCTAAATGATCGATTCATTAATTCTATTTAAACTCAGATTTATAGGATGTATACTTCTAAGTCTGTAATCTAAGATTTTATTTGAATGTGGCGAGGGATGGGCAGCAGCGTCCCTCTTCTAACATCTCTATAGCCTAACTGCGGTTGCCAACCCGCCTGCCAAGCGTGGCACCTACTAGCAAAATGAAATGCTGCTAAGAATTGTAGTGAAATTGCTGAACATGCAAATATAACACTTTAATCCTTAGGAATAGCAACGTATTAGGGGTACCATGAATATACATGGTGCTGTTCATGTCTATAGACAACGGTTATGACTTTCCACCATATAGACAGTTAGTTTCTTTGCCATTCTATGTTAAATAAAGTAGTCAAACAAACATATTGGATTAACTATGCTTTCTTCGAGCCATTTAGCTACTAAAAATGTGGGGGAATGGATGAAGTGAAGTACCTTGACAGTAAATGGTGACCCCTCTACGTGGTGGTCGGCAAACTTAAGGTTTATGATGTAATAGCCAGGTTCGGTGGGCTTGTAGCTAATGGCTAGAACACCATCTTTACTGTCGGCGCATTGGATTTCCGCCTTGCTTGGACCTGATGAACAACGAAATATGAAGTTAAAAACAAGACACTAAATACCTTCGACGTTTAAAATCTAGTGCACTTTCATAACACAAGCGTACAAATTAACAATACTATATTTATCAAACCAAATTGCATTTTCACTCTGTATTTCGATCATGATTTACAGGCATTTTCGCAAATTCTTTGTCATTACAAAGAACTATTGTCCTAACCAATTCTCTCTTCAGTCTTGTGACTGAGAATCATGGTCTCTCTATCAAAAGAGAGATCATGGTTCTCATAACGATAGTACTGAGTGGAAAAATTAGATCGCGTTTGTTTCCCTTTTCTTTCTATCAATTTATCTCGTTCCAATAACTTTGGTCTGGTCTATATCTATATAACTGTGATTCTTCCCTTACAAAGATCATTACGTCTTCTTCACATCTAAGCCTTTGCTTATACAATCGCCTTTCTAACAATGACTATATGTGTAAAACTATTCTAAAAAAACATACATTTATTGTCAGTAATGTATCATAGAAAGATTCCTAATCTGCACATGTTGTTTATCCTCTTAACTCGATATCTAAATTGGCTACAAATAAATATGAGTTTCTAATGTTACCTTCAATGGAAAGTGAGAGACCACCATAACCAGCATTCCTGGTGTCGACTGTAAAGGTATTTTCACCGTGGGTCTTGCCTTCTTTCAGTGCTGTGCCGGATACCTAAAAATCATACAATGGGTTTATTAAATCTTTCTCATAGACCGCTGCCATATTTCTCGGCTTTGACTTCCGCAACAAAAAGCAGAACCGCAGTGATGTACAGTCATTGTGTATATCATTATCAATGCATTTATTTGTATTTAATAATAGGTAGTTCCATTAATACGAAGAACTATATTAACATCATATAAATACTCTATACTCTTCTATTTATTTGCTCATTACGTTGCTCCGGCAGTCCTGTTATTTTCGTTTACAATCGACTGGTAGATAAAGCTATATAGTTTTAAGTCCGCCTTCTGTACAGTCTAAATGTAGTTAAATTCGTTAATAAATAAATTGTTAAATCAAATATGATAATAATGACTATGTTTGTCATTTCCAGCAATCGTTTCGACTTCATCTGGAAGTCTTCTTCAGAGGGAGTACGACATTGCGTCACAGAGAAAGAAATTCTTGGCGTTAGAAGACTTTCGAATGAAGTCGAAACAATTGTCGGAAACGACAAACATAGTAAATTCATCAAAATCCCGTTTGAAGAATAGACATTTTTGAAATCGTTTTTCAATTAATCTACTGCCCACTTTAAAAAACAAATTCAGCTGAGAAGAACGGACAAGAAACTCGTGTTTGTACTATGTCGCTGCAACTATCATTTCCTTTCTTATAACGGACACTTACCTGGACTTTTTTAGCATCACCAACTTCCTGTTCCTGGACTGTGATGTTGAATGGTGAGTTTTGTATGTGAACACCCATCTTCTTTACGGAGACGATGTGCTGACCGGCTTCACGGGGAGTGAAGCTAATGCCAATATTTCCTGAGGGCAATCGTTTCAGGAAACAAGGCTCTTCTAAGCCTGATGGTGCCTGACGACAGAAAATGATAAATGTTTAATATCTCTTAAGAATAATTTTAGACGTTGGTATGATTTCTTTTGCCATAAAAGACACGACTTGATAAAGAGATAGGATAAAAATGAACGATCAATAAATTTTTGATGGCACTACATATAAAATAAATCCTGAATATAACAACTGTATCTTCATGACCATTATTTCAGACATTATGGATGACCGATTGCCGTGTGGTTCCAGCATAGAATGGGTCACGTCTTCCTTTCCCGTGATTTTTCCTTCCTTTCGCGTGTCGTAAGAATGGGCTAAGGGAACTTAACGGTCGAGGGATAGGCAGCAGCGTTCCTCTTAGAACACCATCAATCGCAGTTATAGTGACTGCGATTGCCAACTCACCTGCCAAACGTAGCATCTACTGGCAAAACTGTTATGGTTCAGCAATGAACAAAAAACACATTTCCCCTGGTTCCATCTTGATTAATTCTTGTTGAACTCGTCACGATAGGCCAACTGATCTGCCTTCATCCTTAATTATCATCTATCACTGGTGCCAAGCCAGCATATTCCGATAGCTTAGGTGGAGTTACCATTCCATTTTTACACATTAAAAAAACCTGGTGTTGGTCAGGAAGCTTCAAATTTATATTATGACTATATCTAAAAATCTAGAAGATACGATAAGATATAAAAATATACAACACACCTGGATAGAAGCATTAAGACTGCGGATATCATTGTCACTGATCTTGCCAGGCAGGGTAACTTCGCTGCAGCTGCCTACAGAGATCTGATTCCTCTTGCGTCCTTCGCCGGTAACCTGGTAACATTTTTAGTAATTAAACTTTCTTAATTAATTACTGAATGATTTTCATCGTATCATTGTCTATCAAGAAGATTGATTATTACATAACTACGACTACTAGATGGGAGAGAAGATATTGTTAGTAAAGGAGACTAGCAGCCCAATGCTAGCAATATACTCTGCCAAGTCTACAATCACGATGTAACAACTAATCAGCTATCCCTCACTGGTGCCCCGCCAGCGTATATCGTTAACACAGGCGGGGTTAACATTCTATTATTATCCATTAAAAAAAAACTACTAATAAATTACCAGCATCATGAGACATTATATTGGAAAAAGACTTGTCTGTAAAAAACGAAAAGTCCTCAAAAAATCTACCAAAACCTTGAAGAGGAAGAGGCCTTGTGCAGCAGTGAACAGTAACAAAAAAAATACTAGTATTAAATTCTGAATAAAGAATTAATTTCGATGCTAGAATTCAGCGTACCTTTGCAATGAAGGGCGATCCTCTGATATGCTTGTCCCCAAATCTAATAGAGACCTTGTACTCTCCAGGAGCTGTGGGCAAGTACGAGACGGCAACCGTGCCATCTTTGTTATCGTGGCATGTAATCTGAAATATAATAAAAAAGTTTATCGGCAAATTTATACCATAGAAACTTGTACAAAAGTCCTCTGCTTGGGTGTTTCTGTCCCATTCGTGTTTCTACCGTAAAACAGTTGTATTTACATTGTTGCCCTTCGGTTTAAAGCTATTCTATTTATTTTATATAACAATGGAATTACAGGGTACAGAGGCATAACATTTTAGTTCTCCAGAAACAGGAACACATGAAGGATATCATGGGCGACACAGTATACCCTGTTATGTCCATGATACTGGTCATGTCTATAGGTGACAGTTACTACTTTCCGTTAAGTGGGCTGTCAGCAACATAAACAAATTGCTTTTTACACTTGTAAATATACTAATGATACACCTGTTAATATGTTACAATTTTCGTTGTTTTCCATGTGGTCCCGGCATAGAATAAGCCATCTCTTCTTTCCCCGTGGATGTTATAAGAGCCGACCAAGGGAGAGCGGGGGATGGGTAGCAGCATCGGTCTTAAAACATCACCAAAAACCTAACTGCGGTTGCCAACCCGCCTGCCAAGGGTAGCAACTACTGGCAAAACTCTCCTTATGGGAAAGGCTTATGTCCCGCAGTGGACAGTTAATGACTGAAATAATAATAATAAATTGTGTGATTAAAGAAGAACCTACCTCAGCCTTACTGGGTCCTTCAACAGACATAGACAGCCCGCCAGCCCCGGCGCCTTTGGTGCTGATAGTGAATTGACTGGGCTCACCGCTGACACCGCTCACCAAACCCGACCCATAAGCCGTCACATAGCCAGAAGAGATGGAATCCACTGTAAACTTGTATGGAGATCCTAGAAGGAAAACATAAGATATATAAAATTGACTACAATTGTCACAACTTAATTTACGACAACGTCAACAGAAGATAACCAAGATGTCTATTGGCAATAAAGAATCTAGAATCCAGTCTATCCATTCTACCGATAACGAAGATGGTAGTCGCCAAAACACTTGAAGTATATGCAATAAATAAATATACATAATGTTAAAACAGATTTAAAAGAGTAACTGTCGAATTTCTTGCGGTCTCTTCTCAACAGATAACAACTTTCCGAACACTTTTTTTTTAACGTCTGGAAAATGCTTTATGCAGACCCATACACCTTGTGGGGGGTGAATGGGTACTGTGGGAATCCCCCCGTAAGATGGGAATGTACCCACCAAAAACCAGACGATATACCCTCGAGGTGCCATATGTCGCGGAGACATGGGTTCACTTTCGCACTCACCATATCAACTTTCCCGAACCCTGTATTCATAAAAAAATAACAATTTAAAAGTATTTGTAAACAAGTATTTTTGAATAAAAATTATTTGAATTTGAATTTAATGATAATATAATAAAATTGTAACTAGACAATATCTATACATGAAAGATATTTTAAAAAAATAATATGAAGAGTCTTAATAAGATGTTTGTTTGCCTGTATGTCTCTTTGTATATTGGTACCAGTATCACGCAAAAACTACTACATCAAATTAAATGCGGTTTTCGCAGTTGAAAATCTAATTTAAAATCTGGTATATGCCATCAAAAAGTAATATCTACGTGTACGAAGTAATTTTAGAATTTTAGAAGTTTTGGCCTGCCCTGTTCGATGGTATAATTATTTTTTACCTAATATCTTTCTTCATGAAAATAACTGAAATTGACTTCAAGATATTGTTACGAAAAAGATTTTTTTTATTTCGTCCAAACTTTTACCCGCTGTTCTAGGCTAACTAACTCTTTAACTAAGTCTCTACCAAAATTCAAGTTGGAAATTGAAAGAATCAATAAATAGCATACAAATAACTCTAACGCTTTATATAGCAAAGACTGTTGCATATCTGTTGTGCTGTATTGGAAGTTAAAAAATTCTATGGCTCGTGGGAAAAATGTCCAAATTCACTGCTACTTCAAGTATCATAAAGAACTTACCCTGAACATGTTCTCCGTTGTACTTGACATAAAGCTCATGGATGCCCTCTTCTCTCGGCTCATACTTGATGCTGACGGTGCCGTCTCTGTTGTCCTCAATGACAGGCTGGTCCACGTGGCCGCTCGGCATCTTTATTTCAGCTGCAACGAGATAAGCAAGAAGAAAAAAGAAGTTAGACACTTTGGAAAGAAGAAATATCATTTTGGAAGTTACTTCGTTTAATTTGTTGTATTTTTAAAGATTTAAATTGTCAAATATACGTATTCCTTAATGCGACCATATCTAGAATCTTATTTTCGTCATCATGGTACCATTGCCATCCTTTAGACAGACGTCTAAACAGAGGAAAACTTCGACAAAACTTTTCTTAAAGCAGCCCATTTTCCTAAACTATAAAATTGTATTAGTTTTTTAAAAGATAAGTTTTATCACACAGCCCGCCCTTTTATTTATTTCTATTTTTCCTTTCGAAACAATTTACAATATTTTATCTTTACAATAACGGGCAAACAACAATATTTATTTATTATATTATCAATATGTACTTTTTCACTTTTGTACAGAATGAAAATTAATCAGCTATTAGTTGGCTGACTATTTTTTACGATATTTTTAACATTTGATACTTGATGAATTATAATGATTAATTAGGAATTCTTCAGAATAAACAACAATATTTCAAACGTTGCGATAAAATCATAAAACTCCAGTGTATCTTTGGTCTATTTAAAGATTAAAAAATAAAAGTTATTTCAAACAAACCTTTCCTAGTATCAATATGATATATAGTGATGAAGTTTAGAGGAGTGTAATTCAATCCAAAACCGGTTTTATTAAAGCTTATCTCGTGTGCTTCTCCAAAAACAATTGGTATTTCCTCTTTATCAATTTCAGAAACTGAGAAATATTTCCTCAAGTCTAAATAGAAGTCAGCCACCTCGTCCCAAGAGACTTCTTTCTCGTTGGTCCCAACGATCGAGTTCCAAAGGCCACTCATAAACGCCATTTATTAAATTTCTTGAAGCACTTTGAAATTAAAATGTGTTTGAGAATGTGTAGTGTGTTAAAGTTTTGACATTTTTAGTTTGTGTTTTATTTGGTTTAGCTATAAAGAATATATTTCAGAATTACTTTATCAAAATGAACTTATTTAGGTATATAATCATTTTTTTAATTTTACGATTGTTTTTAGTAAAAAAGATTTAAATAAAAAAATATATATTTAAAAGTCAGAGAAACAAAAACTGGAAACTTAGAAGTACTATCATAAATAGAAGTCAGCCATCTCATCCCAGAAAAGTAGACTAAAAGCCATTAAATAATTTTCTTTAAGCACTTTTACATCAAAATGTATTTGAGAATGTACAGTGTGATAAACTTTTAACATTTTTCGTCTGCATTTTAATCAGCTATAATAAAATAGAGGTAGTGGCAATTAGATACCACGGGAATGAATATTTTTATATAAACCATATAATATATAACATTCGTGTTTATCCAACTTTCTAAAACTTTTTTCACGAAGCTATGCCAATTTAAATCTACGCATCAGTGATGATTAATTTGAAAACTAAAATATTTATATTCATTTCGCCTAATGTCACGTCCAATTTATATTTCCGGATATTCCAAAAATGTGTTAGCACATCGTATGTAAATACGTCAACATCTGCAAATTTAACTATACACGTGTGGGATTCCATCAGTGTACCATGGCCTGCCATGATTGCAATATATCAATACTAATATTATAAAAAAGAAAAAAATTACTGTTTGTTTGTAAGGAATAATACACAATAACTACTTAACTAATTTTAAAAATTCTTTCAAATATCCAAAGCTGCATTATCAGGGAGTTTTTTTTTATTATTTCAGCCCTTAACTATCAGCGGCAGTTATCAGCGAGTAACATAATTCTATAGACCCGTACGAAGCCCGGCTTAATCGCTTGTATGTAATATATATTTTGAAGTTACAATTAATTAAATAATTATACAACAGAAAAAAAAAATTAAGACTAAAAATAAACTTTTTTTCATTATCATGAAAAAAAAAGTTTTATTCAATCAAGTCAATAAGAAATGTCTATATGTTTTTATTAAATCTAGAGACGATATTACGAAGGACTCGTTTTTTTATACCACTGGTGGCAACAAACGTACGACCCAAGTGATTCTTTGAAAATTTCATTAAAACGCTTTAAATAATTTTAAAGATTAATAACATCAAATATAGTGATTTTTGCATATTAAGATATTTCTAGAATGAATACTTACACGTGAATTTAAAAAAAAATTGGCATCACTAATTTTTACGTAGCGAAAGAAATTCGACGGCTCGTGTTAACCGACGATACGTTAACGGCCAGATGTCATCAACAGTTTATAGTATTGATATAGTAATTTTTAAACGTGTAAAAATATTTATTTAATAGTTCAAACACGACGTGGCAATACATAAATTATTCGACTGTAATATGACATTTTAGTAAAGTTATTTTATTTAAGAATGCCATCCGTATTTCTGCCATGAAGTGCTTGCTTAGTTATGTTTCGGTTTGAAGTTTGGAATATAGATGGCAGTAGAATTACAAGGGTACATTACCCGATGGGAAGAAAGGTTTTCGTGTGGCGATCCCGTACGGGCAAACGCGGACTAAGACGACCCCCACTAGATGGAGTGACGACCTCAAATGCACTGCAGTGAGTCAGTGGATGTAGATGGCTCAGGTGGTCTACCATGAAATGAAATTCCGAATTTTCGGGCTTAATTTCATGTTTTTGTTCGTATCGAAATCGAACCAGTAAATGGAGCTTAACATTTCGTTCATCATAAATCCTATCCTAATAGTCCAGAGGAACGATATTTTAACATTTTTAATAATTTTAAACGGCATATATTATGTAAATTTAACATCACATTTCTGTTTCGATCGTCCTCGAAATTACTGAAAATATTTCATAGTCTTCTGGTCCGTTCCTTATGACAGTCTACGTGGGAGGCCTATGTCCAACAGTGGACGGATAATAGCTGAAATGATGATAATGATGATTAGCTTAACACCACAGTCCACAGGAATGGCAATGCATGAACAATACCATGGGCACTACATGTATTCGATTATAGATATTTATGTCTATAGGCGATGATTACCACTTTCCACCAGGTGGGTCATAAGCTTGTTTACCATTTAGAATCATAAAAAAGTATCATGACATTTTTTTTTTATACAAGAAAAGGAACACTCTAAAGAAAACATTACGACAAACTGTCTAAACAGCATCATAACAGTAAACTAATATCTTCCTGTTTTGTTAGACACGTGCCCAGTTGTGGGACGTTAATAGGTTATTATATTTGTATATTAAAATTCCAGTAAAATTCTTCTCGCAAAAAGCAAATAGGACTGTTTTAAAAACGTTATGTTCTTGAATTTTATATGATTAATGTTTCAGTCCGCTATTTAAATTTCAGATCGGAATTTCTTTTTCTTACAATAAATCTTGTATTTATTTTAAAACTTCTTAATGGTGCGGTGTTTAGATTTATATATATATATATATATATATAGCTCAAATATCTGAATGGGTTGGGGGGAAAGGGATCGTTAGTAATGGAGACTAAAAATCCCATTGCTAGCAATACTGGGTGTATTGCTAGCAATGGGATTTTTAGGTCTACTAGGTCTACTTCCTCGTGGTTCCCCCTGGAAACTATCATGGTTAATTCCTGATGAATTCATCATGATGGGCTAACTGGCCTGTTTTCATTCTCATCGATCACCCTTCACTAGTGCTCCGCCAGCGTATCCCGTTAGCACAGTCGGGGTTACCATTCCATTATCACCCAAAAAAAAAGTATGAATGGAATGGAAAAATTGTCCTTAAACGTCTAAATGGAATAGTTTAAATGGCAATTTGGTATACAAATATATCATATTCTAAATTAACACTCACACGATAATTTTGGTCTTAATTAATAGCAACTGTTTCGGTTTGAAGGGTGGGATATGGCGTGAATTTACTGGGTACAGTCCTCAGGAATGGCAACGCATGCGGGGTATCATGGGCGAAACAGTATACTTATACTCTGTTATGTCCATGATAAAGCTCATGTCTATAGGCGACGGTTACCACTTTCCATCGGGTGGGCCGTCAGCTTGTTTTCCATTCTAAGTTGCATAAAAAAAACTGTCTGTTTTCACTAGACTCATCAAATATATACTAATACAAAAACGATTTACTAATATTATAAAAAAATAAATTTCATCATTTAACTACTTTATCATAAAACATGCCCAGTTTAAATCGCTTTATATTCACAGAAACGTATTTGTATTGAATATTTTATAAATAAAGATACTAAGATATTTTGTTTGAGGTACAGTTTTATGAAAAATAGTTAAAAACAGAACTAGCTACGAAGTAACGAGTAATATGTTCGCGCTATTCACTTTATAGTACTCGTAAGTCATCACTAGATGGCGTTGCATATCAACTTCTATCATACCGACATCTATTTCTTATAAACAAAGTGAAAACGGAATCGTTAACATAATTTTAAGGAAGTATTTTATTAATTAAATAGAAAATTTCCAAAACAAACATAGAACACGAACTAATAGGTAATATAATAATAATGTAAATAATGGGAACGAAAAAAATTTCATTTCCATACATACTTGATAATTGGACGTACAAATGTCAGTATATTATAGGATCAAATTTTGTGTCGTTTTTCGGCTCATGATTCTTGTTAGAAAATTTTAAATTTAACTGATAACATTGCAGGTGACTCAGAACCGTTCCTTATGGCATGTCTATGGGGAAGGCCTTTATTCAACAGTGGACCGATAATGGCTGATATGATGATGATGATGATGATAGTCTCTTAAAGGGTTGGTAATATTGGAAGTATGGTGCTGGCCACCATAGTCCGTCTGTTTACTGTATATCTATCTATTTACTGTATAGATAATCTGGTAGTATTGTTTTATTGTTACCCTATTCCCTTTGGCCGCAACAGAATAACAGTACTTTGCTCTTTTGAGGGCGAAGCAATAAACTGAGTTGTGACCATTTTGTATTGCTATGGCACACGCACAAGTGAAAAATTGTACTTGGCTTAATGTATTTTAATTAATTAATTCATTATCATCATCGTATCTTTTAACTGTCCACTGGTGAACATAAGCTTCCCACTAGGGGAGTTTTGCCAGTAGATGCCGCGTTTGGCAGGTCTAATGGCAACCGCAGTTAGGCTTCGGAGATGTTTTAAAAGGGACGCTGCAGTCCATCGGTCGCCGTCTCTTAGTAGGCCTCTTACGACAGCCACGGGAAAGGAAGGGGTGCCTATTGTATGACCACATGGGAATTAATGATAAATTAATGTTATTGATTGTGATTTCACCCTGTATATAGAATTAATAAATGTACACAGACAAGATAACATCTGCCGTGTATTGGCAGTGTAATTATAAATTATTTCAAGCTAAATAACATCAATACGTTGTTTGTATAGGAACAGTTCCAATATATTAATTATGATGTGAGTCAAACGGCCAAATGTTGATAACCACTGGTTATTAATAAACTTATTGACAACTATTTATCCGACCTCCTTTTTTCGACAACTTCATTAGCATACATAAGCTTTTGAAATTAAATTTGCGTGGTCCTAGTATAGAATGAGTTATCGCTTCTCGACCTTTTGGCTAAGATCAAAGTGTAGTATATACTCTCAAATAAGTCTACGCAAAGTTCTGTTTCGATTCTGAGGGCCACTTTATAAATCTACTTATTAATAAATATATAAATAAATTGTATCGTTAAATAATACATGGTATTTTTTTTTGATGGGTGAAAATGGAATAGTAACCCCACCCCGCCTGCGCTAACGGGATACGCTGGCGGAGCATCAGTGAAGGGTGATAGATGAACATGAAAGCAGGCCAGTTAGCCCATCATGATGCATTCATCAGGAATTAACCATGATAGTTTCCAGGGAGAACTGCGAGGAGATCGACC